CCCGCTGCCGCTTCTGTCGCTTGGATCTGCCCCGGGGACGCGGGGACGGTCCCTTCTTCTTGACCTTCTTGTCCAGGCTCTGCATCAGCTTCTGGACAGCAGGGTCGGTGGGAGAGGCGCAGATTTTCTTGTTCCTCTTGGTGGTAAACCTGGAGGTGCAGGCAGAAAGGTTTGCTGACGGGTGGGCAGGGGGAGGACATGGAGAGGGAGGGTTTAGCAGGAGACAAACTGCTGCAGGTGGTCCCAACCGCAGCGGGGTACTTACACAACAGCACTCAGAAAACATCCCGACTTGGAGTCCTGGAGGCTGTAGGACTTCACCCAGTTGCTGGGGATGGCTTTCTGGCTGTGCTTCAGACAGCAGTCCGGAGCCGAGCTGCCGATGCCTGGGAGCAAGAAGGGAGACGTGGGATTTTGGGTCCTCACTGAGTCAGGACACCTCCCCAGTCCCAGAGGAGCACAGCATGGCTGGCTGACAGCACATGGTGTCATTCGTGGGAGAGATGCTGGCGCAGCACATGAGGGTGGGAGCTCCCAATCCCTGTGCGCAGCTGCAGGTCAGACCCTGCCCCGGGGATATGTGACACCAATTTCACTGCCAGCAGAGGGGAAACTGAGGCAGAGATGAGCTCCTTGCAAAGGGACTGAACCTCGTCCTCCTGCCTGCGCTTTGCAGCTTGGGGTGCTGCTACCCCTCAACCACGTGCACACATGCATGCTCCCAAGCCAAAAAAGCCAACGCCGCACACCAACCAGGCGTGAACACGCACACCCCTACACACCCCCGACACATGACCGCACCACAAACCACACCATGACCGCAGCCATGCACGCACCCAAACACACCACCACTGCACCCATATCCCCCTGCCCCATCCCATCCACGCCCCTCACCTTGAGCCTGGGTGTTGGGGAGGGTGACAGCCAGCAGGAGCAGGGGCAGGAGGAGGCGCAGAGCCATGGCAGGTGCTGTGGGTGCTGAGCAGGGCACGGCTGAGGAGTGGGACGAGCACTGCTGCCTTCTGCTGAGCCTGCTCCTATTTATCTCTGGACGCCTTGCTTTCATTTTCAGCCAGTCTGGCAGGCAGCCCACCAGCACGCCGAGGACTGGGTGATGGAGAAACAGGAGGGTGGGGGATTCCTGTAAACCGTGAGCCCCCCCTTTACGGACGCGTCCTGTCTTGTTCCCAGCTGCCCATCAAGGCGTGGGGTGCCAGGCAGGGGGCACGCCGGAGATAGGGCCCCCATCACGGATAGAGGAGCGTGTGGGCTCCGGTTCCCTACCCGGTCTCACAACCTGTCGCTACCTGCTCTCGGAGGGTCCGGTGTTGCTGCGTGCCTGCTTGTTCCCCAGGCGGGGATCCTGGCAGGTGGCCAAGCCGTGAGGGGAAAAAAGGAGTCGATCTGCTTTGCTCCCCCACTTTGTGTGTTGCTCCTGAGCCAAGCCACCCACCCCACACAGGTGAGAAGGGGCTCAGGGTGACCCCACATCCCAGCCCCCTGAGTTCCCATCCCTGTCTGGCTGCCTCGGGGAGCTCCCCAAACAGCTGAACACATCTGTAGGGCTGTGCAAGAGCCAGAGTGCAAATGGGACTCGGAGAGAGAGATCAGCCCACCCGACATTGGTGCTGGTACCAAATTGTTGGGAGCTGAGGATGTGCAGGGACCTTGACCAGCTGATGGGAACATCCTGAGGTTTAACACAGACAAGGTGCAAAGTCCCATGGGCAGGATGGCGTGACCCTTTGCAGCTGGACAGATTGGGCATGGCTGGCAAGACAAGGTCTACACAGAAATGGGCCCTGGGGAGCTGAACAGGAGCCTGCAGGGCAGCCCTGTGGTGGCCAAGGCCACCCAAAGAGATGGCCCTGTGGCTGCACCAAGCCCAGAACAACTCAAGCTAACACCGGTCCTGCTCAGAGGAGGGGATAGCCAGAGACATCCACATTTTCATGCCATCACCAGGGGATGGAAGTTTCACAACCGCTTTGGGAAACCTGTTCCAGTGCTTGAAATATTCTCATGTTGAAAACAATTTTCCCCACTATTTAACTGGAATTTCTCTTGGTACATCCGGTGCCACTGTCTCTCACTCTGCTCCAGGGCCCCTCTGTGAAGAGTCAGGCACCAGCATCTCTCCAGCCCCCTGGGCAGCCCCCACCAGCAAGGAGCCCTCTTTGCCATCCCATCCCCAGCTTCATCACCACTCACGGCTCCTCTCCACCCACCCTAGCCCCCGGCTCCTCAGCCAGCCCTGGTCTCGCTGGCCATGTCAGCTGTGTCCTGGGAGCCCCGATAGGATGCAGAGCCCTAATGGGGTCTATCTGATGCTGGTGGGGGCCAAGCCCCTTCTCAGGCCCCACCACCTGCGACTTGGGGTGCAGCCCCAGGACTTTTCACCAGTTCCTGATAAGGACCTCCATAAACAGTTATCAAGGGCAATGAGTAACCCAGGAGGGTACCAAAGTCCCGGCTGCTGTAGAAAGCAGAGTTGCCATAGGATGCCCACACTCTCACCCCCTCAAGCAGGGAGGGGTGATGCTGGAGTCATGGAGGGGAGGCTCACCAACAACTGCCCTGCAGCCCTCGCTTAGGCAAAGAGACGGGCAAGACCCTTCCCTGGGAACAAGCTGTGTGCCTGGGGCAGTGTGGCATGCAGGTCTGTATGCCTAGGGCTTCTGCCATCAACCGTGAAGAAGAGAAAGAGAACTCCCATGCTGGGGGGTACCCAGCGCCCAAATGGTGGGCAGACAGCTCCCCACACACCCATTCAGCACCAAGGTTGTGTGGCCTTGGGCAGCAGTCCATGGAGCATGGCACGGGCCATGGGCAGCAGCGAGTCACCTGTGGGTGCATCTCCCCAGGGTGCCTGGCAGCACGGGGAACAAGTCCCTGGAGGCATCCTGTGTGCTGTCACCCATCCCTCCAGCCCCAGAGCACTCGTGGCATCAGGACTGGGCAGGAAAAAGAGACCCATGCTGGCACTTACCACCTTTCCAGCCCTTCCCTGTGCAACCTCTCCAGGCAGGAGTGCCCAGGTGCGGAGCACCTGGATGAGCCCTTACCCTTGGCATGGCTTGTCCCTGTGCTGGAGAAGCTGGGGGAGCATGCATCCTGTGGCCATCCAACCTGGTGAAGCCGCTCCCAAACCCTATGTGGTATTAGGACAAGTGAAGTGGAGGGCGGGGAGACATGCCACAGGTTGTTCCCAGCACAGACCAGTCCAGCCCAGGGCTCTCTCTGCTCCCAAAGGAGCCCAGAAGAGCTCTGCGGTCCCAGCACAGAGCTCAGGTCCCTTCCCTCTCCAGTCCCAGCCCCAGCAGCAGGCGCCTGGAAAGTCCCTGGCTCTCTATGTGTTCTTAAGACACCGCAGCACCATCCTTTGGCCAGAGGCCAGCCCCAAACACGGTCTGAGCTGCTGAGCAGGGTCAGGGCACACGTTCCCTTCACAGCCATCAGTCTCTGGCAGTTCCCTGGTCGATGTGTACCCTGGAGAAAGCAGACAGCTGAGCAGACTCTCACTCCAACCCTTCCAGGCATGGGGGATTCAGGAGGACCCAGGAGGTAACAAGCTAAGGGCAGGGGTACGTGGCCATTGCTCTTGCAGAGCAATGCAGATGCACCTGCATGCCTGAGCAGCAGGGCTCCATGGAGACCAGCCTGGGGGTCTGCGCCCCATCTCCTGTCCTGCCTCCCTTCCCTCAGAGCCCCCCACTCACTCTGTCCTCTCCCAGTGCCTTGCTCGCTCACCTCTACCCCCAGCTTTGGCAGAAAGCAGGGAGCTTCTGACAATGACAGAGGGGTGAGCATCCCTGTTTGCAGCAGGGGTGCAAGACAGACCAAGCTTTTAGGACAGAGAGGAGCTGCCAGGGATGGGGGGCAGAGGCAAGGCTTTTTAGAGCTCTCCGACACCGGCAGCCTTCAGCAGCTGCTCTGGCCAGCCACAATTTCTTGCTTGCACCCGCATAAACCCATTTCTTACCTTTTCCCAGAGCTCAGAGGTGCACGATGGAGGCAGACACAGGGAGAGGAACATAACCAGGCAGGGTGCCCCTCTGCAGTGTCCCAGCTAAAGGGAAACCCTTTTTGGCCCCAGGGTCTGTGCCAGACACCGTACAGAGCCTTTGCAACAGGGCTTCGTGCAGCTGTGCCTCCAGCTCCCCCCATGCTCGAGTAGCCCAGCTCCATCCCCCTGTGCACCCCTGTGGTGGAGGGGCCTCCAGGGTGGAGGTGTCCTAGGCAGAGGCTGCAGCGTCCCTGCACACTGAGTGTGCACCACCCTGCTCATGAGCCTTTCCCAGGCAGCGCAGCCACTGTGGCAGATTGTAGAGACTCAAGCCTGCATCCCAAATGCTTCCTATGTTTGCACGCTGCACCAGAGCCTGGACTTTACCTATTAATTACTTCCCTGGCTTCTAGCATTGCAGTTTCATGGCATCTCACACCATAATGCCAGGAGATCCTCTCTCCCGCCCCTGCACCACCCTGCTCACCCTTCAGCCCTGCAAAGGCCCCCATCCCTGCCCCACATAACCGGACTGCAGGGTCTGCTCCCCGGCGGGCTCAGGGCTGGGAGCAGAGGCTCCTCGGGTACATGCACAGACCAAAGGCACCGACGGGAACCAACCAGAGGGACTGGGAATTTCCAAATCCTTCTGGATGCTGCCTCCAAGTTAAAGTCACTGCTGACAGGAACAGGGTCGCACAGCTCGGCTCAACCCTCTGACCAGCAAATTCCTTCCTGCAGAGGCCCCGATTCCCAGCACCCAGCGCAGAGGTAGTTTTCAAAGCCCAGTGTGGAAAATCCCCACGGCTAGGAAGGGGAGTGGGCTGCCTGCCAGCCACACCGTATAGAAACGCCATATAGCAAAACGGGCCTCGGGAAGCAGGGAAGAATTGCTGGAAGCCGGCGGCACACGAGCCGTCTCCCGGCGTTCGGCGAGGCTGATGGGAAGAGCCAGATGAGCACAACATGCTGGGAAGGGCAGGGAAAGTGCTCCCCGGGAGTCCCCTCCCCATGCACAGACACTGGAGCCAGCTGGGCTTGGAAAGGGTCTTTGGCCAGGAGACATTTGCCCCTTCTGCAAAATTTGGTTTCCCAGTTGGGTGCAAGGACTTAACCCTTTGGCTGCTGCCATGCCTGCAGAGCAGCTCAGCCATTCTGGGGCAGGACGGGCTTGCTGCAGGGGCGCAGCGAGCAAGATGAGAGGGATCCAAGCAGATCCTGTGCATGGAGAGATGCCCTTGTCATACAGCACCCTCTGAGTGGTGTGCACTGTGGCCCATAGTCCTCCCACAGCCCCAAAATCAAGGGACTGGGCAGGATTGGTGTTTTGTCTCACCGTGGAAAGCACGTGGCCAGGATCGCTCAGCTCTCAGCCCTCCTGAGTCGAGCATTACCCACCACATGGGCTCCTCTGGGCTCGGGCTGTTGTGAGCACATGCATTCGTCAGTTGCATCACCAGGAAATATTCAGTGCTGAAAGGGGTGATGTTTCAGGGCCGGTCCCTCTGTGGCACAGCTGAGACCTCCATGGGATGGCCAAGGGTCATGATGGAAAGGGACACAGCAAAAGGCTCCTGCTCTTGGCAGAGATGCTAGGCCAGAGAGCGGGAGATGCTGCAGCAAAGAGGGGGTCAACTGGTGTTTGTGTAACCCTGCAAAAACTGTGTCTCTCTCAGCCAAGAAGCTTCCTTCTTCCACCAAGAAGCCCATCAATCCTCCATCCAGAAATACCATGGTTCCTCATACAGCAGCATAAAACTCAGTGGAAACTGCTGGCGCCAACCCAGCCTTCGCTGAAAGTGGAGAAGTAACAAGTCATAAATCCTCTCACGGCAAAGCGAGCGACAGCCCCCAAAGCAAGGCACAGCGTGCATGCCAGCTGCGCCAGGAGCTCTGCCCAGTTTGGGATGGGTGGGTTGGCTGGGCTCTGTCCCGGCTGGGATGCGCACACGCGT